ATGTCACTTCCTAAGGGAAGCCTTAAAAAACAGTATCTGTAAGACAGATATGTGGTTTTTAAAAGATTTTATTAAAATATAGCTAATATATAATATTATATTAGTTTCAGAGGTACATCATAGTTATTCAACAATATCCACTTGACACTATACATAGTTATTACCATATTATTAATTATATTCCCTCACAGATATGTGTTTTTTAAGGTTCATAATAAGATGGGCATTTTGAATGACTATTAGGATTTAGAAAATAAATTTCAATACTAATATCTTTGCTACACTGTTTAATCATGGGTAAATAGTAAAGCAGTGATTCACTGCCTCATCCTTACAAATACGATTTATAATTGAAAGCTAAAGAAGAAAAAAAGAAGTGAATCAAAGCTCAGAAGTTCTAAAGGTCCCCAAAAACATTTACGTCACTTGTATATGGACTAAGAAGACTATGAATGAAAAGTGTAGAAATAGAGTGTGGATAAAGTGATACAATGACAGAGATAACTGGCAAAGAATTATCCTATACCACCCTTAGACTCCAAAATCACTTCAGGAGAAGTTCCTCTAACTTCAAGTATAAAATTTATCTTTGGCTTCCTAAGTCAGATGTTTTAAGACTTTTAAGTCATGGAATGCACAAAGGGCCACCCTTTAGAGACTAACATGCCCATCCAGATACTCAAAGATACTTCAAGTCTGGACAGACCTGATGACAACTTCTTCTGGGCTTCTGAATTTAACTGCACTTACAAAAATCATATTTGTCAATGCCACTACCATTACTATGAAGACCATGACAATCAGCTATCAGTGCCCCTAACACGCCTGCTTCCAGCACCTGTCACCTATCAAGCACCTGCTTTGGGCTGGGCCCTGTGCCAGGTGTTTTACACTGTAACACTGAATCCTCATAGAGCCCCAGCAGGGAAGTGGGATTATTTCCATCTTACAGGTGAGGAAGCTGAGCTAAAGACTGAGGCTTAGCAAAACTGACCCAAATGGTCGAGGCAGATTTGAAACTGAGTGTTTCCAATACCACAGTTTATGCGTTTTTTCACTGCAGCATGCTCTCAGGGCTACTATTTATTGAGCATCTGTTATCTTCCAGGCACTGTGCTAGTTGTTCTAAATACATATTTATAAATCTCAAAAACAATGCTAAGAGGTAGGTCACAGATCATGAAACTGAAGTTAGAGCAGTAAAGAAACTTCCCAAGGAGCTGACAGCTAGTTAGTGACAGAGCTATAAACTTTAAATTCCTGGTTTATCAATGGTGAAATAAAATAAACCTAAAATTTCAAACTCCTGCATATTTAGATTTGGCATGAGCTAAATAAGAGAAATAACTCAGTATTAACCAGTTTAGATGTAACGTTAGATTAAGGGGAAAAAAAAAGACTTACCTACTAGGTCCTTTATGGTAGAAATAATGAAACCTGTTTAGAGTACTAAACACTAAGGCAGCCATAAAAGACTGAAAACTAAAATCAATTTTAAGTCACAAAGACACGCTAGTTTCCAAATGCTTTCAAGTAACATTTTAAATGATTGTTCTTTTTCTGATGAAATAAAACAATAGTTTATCCTCACAACACTCTAGTGATATAAACAGGTAGTAAGTTGTTTTCCCTTTATAAAAGGGAAAAAGGTCCATTTAAGTGCAGAAAAACTAAGGGACTGTTTACAATCCCGGAACTTGAGCCTGTACAACCTGACTTGGAGGTAGGTCTCTGCCTGCCCAATGAGGATGCTCTGCCCTCTGGCACTGGCTGCATTTTTTTTCCAAGTGAAACTAGGTCTGCTAATTTTCAGAGGGTTACGAGGTCCACCCACCACGTGAGTGTGGCTCTCCCACAGAGAGTAATAATGCTTGCTTCTAGGTTTGGGGTTCAATTCAGTTCCAGGGTGATCTTTTTTAATTCACTGCATTGACCTTTAGCTAAGCACCCATTTCTAATAAAAATAATACTGGGTGCCTGAATTAGGGGAGATACAAAGGAAGTACAATTTCCATCATATAGCAGAAAATAAACACAGAAAATTACTGCTCAAAAGGAGGTATAGGCAAGATACTGGCAAAAAAAGAAAAAACAACTCCCATTTATTGAGGGCTTACGGTGTCCCAGTCACTTTTCTGAGCACTTGACATATATTAACCTGTTTATTTTTATAACAACTTTTTATTACGCCCAGTTGTGGATTAGAAAACCGAGGCAGAAAAAGGCTAATAACTTGCCCAGGATGACATGGCTAACTAAGTGTCACCATAAGAAGAATAGGGACTTTGTTCCTGAAGAGCCCATACTCTGAATAAATTGTTTATAAAATGGAGTAAAATTCAACACCTATTAAATGACAGTGCCACAAAAGGCTACCAGGGAAAGTTTGCTCATAGCTTGCCATGCCCTCTCCACACACACCACTGGGCCCTCTGATAGCAAGAGGCTAATGATAGACAGGAGATGAGGCTGACCCAGGGGGGTAACAGATCTATGTCCCTGAAAAGTAACATATTAACATGATTACTGAAACGAAGCTGAAGAAAACCTTTAAAGGTGAATTTTAGGAAGAGAGGCAGCCATGTTCAAATCCTCTTATGTAAAGAAAGAAAGCAACCATCGTTAATTTTTAGAACATCTGCAGTAAAGGCCACAAATACCTGCAGAATACAGAAATCTGACATCAGTACACTTTGAGCCATCATTAGAATAAATGGTAAGCTGTTCTAGGAAGAAAAACATTTTTCCCCCCATCTAACCCTGGTTTTTTTCCCCCTTTTCTTCCATTAGATCTTTGCATTTATAATGATGATGATGATTGTTTTTACATTTACTGAGTTTCTACTTTGTGCCCAGAAATGTGATAAAAGTTTTACTTAATAACATAAATGTGCATTTGATATTCACGACAGCCCTACAGAGTCAGCATTACTGTTTTCTCCATTTTCCAAATGAAGAAAACTGAGACTCAGAAAGGTGAAGAAACTTGTTGAAGGTCACACAGCCATTTCATTTTTGTTAACCATATATGCCCAGCAAATGCATGTGGCCACCTGACTGTCGCATCCTTATGTAGAGACAAAGGCCACCATGAGGGATGCACATTCCAGCCAAGTTCCACCACCTGCTAGTCCTGGACAAGGTCAGATGGCTCAAGAGAGCCACACTGGCCAAAGACTGACCAGAAACCTAAGTGCGCATTGACCACTCTCTTTAGACTAGAAACAGGTAGACTCTTTCAGAAGTAAATACAATATTTAAAAAGATGATCTAACTAGAAAAACATCCTAAAGTCAGACCAGTATGTTTAGTTTTCAGAACATTTGTTAGTACGAAGTTCATCATAGTTCTGAATGAAAGAATAGCATGCTTCAAGACTGAACTAAAATACAAGAGGCTCCAGGAGAGAAGCAAAAGTTCCTATTTTAAGTTTTAGTCTAAAATGTATTTGCATTTGAATAAATGGTCCATGGTTGTGAATGATTATGTTTTGATAGACAGCAAATGATGGCGCTACATCAATAAGAACAACCACTATGGAAATGTGTAAAATGTGTAAAACTGAGGGGATAGGAAAAATACTTCAACATTGAGTACATTATTAAGTAACATTTTGTTAGAAATTTCAATTTGTAATTAAGCACAGTATGTCTTTGAATAGCTAAGAATGTCTTATTACAACCAATTACTGTGGATAATAAAGTGGGAAAAAATAAAATGCCTTCTCTCTTAGTACTCCCATCCCTACCCCCTCACACATACTCAGATCACTTGTGTTTCTGAGGAAGTACCTTGCTCTTCCGAGTATTAATGGTGCTTGTAGTGCAACCTCTGCCTGAAACTCGTTGTTCCTCCCTTTTCTCCCCTGACTAAGCCACGTCAGCGATCCTCCTCCAGGAAGCCTCCCTGAATCCCCTCCTTTGTGCTAATACCTATGACAGCATTTATCCTACTGTTTAATTTTTGGTCTCCACAAGAGACTAAGAATTCTTTGATGACATAGACTGCTCTCATTGTTTTTTATATCCTGGCATTTAGTTAAGGTGCTCAATAAAATTTTTACTAAATGACTGAAAACGTATTGCAAAATTAAGGCTTTTTTAAATGTAAAAGGAAAAATATGTCTAAAATGAAAATCTTGGACAATTTTATGTTGGCCCTCATTTTGCATGAGGGTGTATTTTAAAAACACACACAGAAGGATTTACTGGACATTGCCAACTGCCCTTCATTGAAAGTATTTTATACCTCCAAACCACATAAATACAATGTTACTTCAAACTGATTATTATGCAATAAGTGTAACAATTCAGATAATATTGAATAATTACACATATAGAATAAAACCACCACAAAATCATGATAAAGATTTATAAAGCACAATGACAATTACACTTTGAATAACTAGGTGCTGTCTAGTTCTGCCAATTATGCCAATGGGGACAAGCCATTTACCCTTTGATCTCAGGTTCTCCACCCATAAAATGGGGGTAACCATCCCTGCCACTTCCTTCTCCGTTCCGATATTGCGAGAATGGAGATATAATAACTCTAAGAATGGGGATCTTCACAATGAAGGCACCATTAACAACGTATTATATAATCCCAAGGTAGAGTTCCTATCATCATTCATTATGGTAATAACCTTTCACCATCCTGCTCTCATTAGCAAGTTGATAGTGTTGACTCTTGCATAAATTCTTTGCCAGTCAAAATAAAGGTCACATGGGTGGGCACAAGTTCCCCTCGCCGGTGCTTGTTAGGAGTCAGAAGTAGCAAGGAATCTGACCACCACTCCCACCCCACGGCCCCCAGAGGCTACGATTGCGCGCCTCTGGACCCTGCTACACTCCTGCCGGGTGAAACAGACTCTGGGCTTGTGCCCTTCTCTAAATGGGTTAGAGCGAGGCTAACGGTGGAGAGGACCCAAGAGTTAGAGCAGCTGGAGTGCTTAGGAAGGAGGTGGAGGTGAGACTGGAGGGTTCGGGCGAGGAGCTTACCTAGCCTCGCCGAGGGGCGCCGAGGGCGGGTGCGGAATGAACACCCCACAATCAGACGGCGAAGGCTGCTGCTTCTTCTTGGAGCGCCAGATATGGAAAGGGGTGTGCTTCTTGGAGGTTCTGGAAGGGCTGGACTCCCCGGGGTCGCCCTGAGATGGCAGCGACAGTGGCATCTTCTTGTCTGCCTCCTCCTCCACCCGCTGCTCGGATGCTGCTCTCTGCGCCGCCCGGCCCTTGTGAAAGAACATACCTGGGCGCTTTCCCAGCTCGCTGTCGGACCCCACCCCCTCGGCAGGGAGTTAGAGGACTAGGATAGAGCCGAGCCAGAACTGCACAGCTATGCGTGCCTTTCCCACGGAGACCGCCCAGGCGTGGCACAGTGCCCCCGCGCGGCGAAGGTAGCACCGAGTGCCAGCCCAGGTGAGGCGCGCGCCCCGGGAGCTCCAGGTAAGGCCAACACAGCCCTGGTCTCCCACTCCAGGCTCGCGGCGGCTGGGGGGCAGCGACACCTACTGGAATTCCTGGGAACTGCGTCTCCAGACTGCATGCCCTCCTCTGGGGTGGGAACCAGGGCTGGGTCCGATTTGGACAGCGTCTCCAGTGCATGTGCCATCGGTCGCCTGTAGAGTTAGCCACTCGCGGCCTGTGCCAGTCTGGTAAGATGAGTGGCTTCGCCATGAGCCCCGCCTCAAGAAGGATGGGAGAGGCGCATCCCGTGGCCCAGCCACCCGGCAATTAGGACTGTTCCAATCTGGCCTTTGGGTAGCTTGGGCAATATACTCGTACGCTGGGTGGCTTCCGTTCCTGTTTTTAAACACGGGTGCCAACTTCTCTCCTCTTCCTTTAAGAGTCTAAATAATTAATTTGTACTTGCATCTCATAAAGCACAAAAGGATAAAAAACAGAAGGTAATTAGGCATAGTGCCCAGTTTCCAAAGGGTTTAATAGATCCCTCACAGTGAATTAAATGCCAGTTCCACAAGGTTCTTGTCATCTGCTTTACTACTAATGGTTTTCTTTTCTTAACCTCACAGTCGTGGTTAAATAGTAAAGGCAACCACTATTTAGGAAAAGAAAGTATACGAACAATTGTTTTGGGCATTATTAGAGTATAAAGTGCTCAAGAACTAAGCACTGTTTAAAAATTCAATGCAATACAAAGTCTCTTTTTTACACTGTGATACCTTCTGTCTTTTCTCTTGAAAGACTCAGCTCATTCATTCACTCATTCATTCAAGGAACATTTATTTGTATTTGATTATTTTTATATTTACATCTTTATCAAGGTATAGCTTACATGCAGTAAAAAATGCACAGATCATTAGTATATAATTCAAATTTGTGGCTGTGGGTGTAAAATTGTTTTAATGAAGGACAGTTGACATTGTCCCTGAAAATCCTTCTGTATGTGGCTGTTAAATAAACCATTATAAAAATATAGAGTATTTCCAAAACTTCAGAAATCTTTCTCCTGTCCTTTTCCAGCGTCTCACTCCTTCCTTCTCTTAAAGTAAACCATTATTCCAACCTCTATCACCAAAAATTAATTTTGCCTCTTCTGGAAGTTCATTCAAGTAGAATCATGATATGTACTTTTTTGTGTCTGGTTTCTTTTGCCCAATATTAGTCTGTGAGAATCATTGATATTGTTACATACAGTTTTTCATTTTTAAGAAAAATTATTGTGTACTATTCCATGATATGAATATACCACAATTCATGTATTCACTCTACTGTGGATGGACATTTAGGTTGTTTCCAGTTTGGGGCTGTTATGAATAAGCTAGCTGATGATGAACCTTCTTAGACATAGCATTCATTTCTTTTGGATACATACCCAAGAGTTCAATCTCTGGGTAATAGAATATGCATATGTTCAACTTTAGTAAATTTTGTCAAACAAGTTTCCAAAATGGTTGTAACAATTTATACTCCTTTCAGCAATGCTAGAAATTTCCAGTTTTTCTACATCTTCATCAACACAATGTTATCAACGCTTATTATTTTGGTCACTCAGATGGGGGTGTAGTGGTTTCTCATTGCAATTTTAATTTATGTTCCCTCAAGAAATATTTGTTGAATTTTTTTGAGTACTGATTATATGCCAGGCCCTGACTTGGGGGAGGGGAACTGACTGGCAGATACATGGCTAATATACATCAAAGGGTAAGAGAATTGGTAGAGGTATGTACCAGGCATTATGCGAGTTTGAAAACATTACTAACCCAGCCTGGGTGTTAAGAAGGAGGAAGAGGAGCCATCCATAGGGATTTATTATAAAACGTCCTTAAATTGAACCTTAAAGGGCAAAGGGAACAGCAAGAAAAGGGGAAGAGAAGGGAAGAAGGAAAAGAGAAAAGAGAAGCAAAAGGGGAAAAGGGAAGTGTTCTTGTGCACACTTGCTGAAATATTTACAAGTTTAGTAATTTAGTCTTTCATTCCTGACTCCTCCAAGCAAAACTCTTCATGCCACCCCTCCTTTGTGCCACCAGTGAATCTGGAACATATTTCAGTTATCACGCTGTTCACATTACATGGACGTTATTTATTTACATATCTGTGTCTCCTATTAGCCTGAGAGAAACTTAAGGACATTTGTCAATTATTTTTGTACTTTTGGGACATGACTCCCATTAAGTGAAATAATTAATCAAATGAATTGGTATGCTAACTTAATTGGATACCTAAAATGTTTCAGGCATAGATCTTTTCTACTGTACACTTTGTAAGAGCAAAGATCATGATGTGTCTTTTTGCACTATTATACCCGCAATGACTAGCATATTGCATGACACAAAGTAGGCACTCAATATATTTTTATATGAATTATATCATAAATTAGAACTATGCATAGAAGCATAAGATACAGTACTTGTGATTAATCTAGTGAAGGAAATAAACATCTCAATACAATACAACTTGGTACAATAAAACCCGATATGTTCTAACCAAACTGTTACACTGTTTTTCAGTCATCACAAAAACAGATCCACTCAATCTTGTTTAAGCAATAAATTAATTTATCACAGCATATTACAGAACACCCCACAGAGACAAAGAGCCAGACTCTGAAGCCCAAACATGCCCAGCCACCCCAGAAAGCTGGTCTAGTGAACACCACTCTTACCACCTCTCAGCACTAGAGGCTACACACCGGCAGCCCTGCTACTGACACCCCAAGAATCAAAGTCCTATTCTGGCCACTTTGATAGATCAGCTCCCCACTTCATCATCCTGACAAACATATTGCTCACTTCTGAAAAAGAAAAAAGTTTCATGAAGGTACACCTGATTGGGGGAGACTGGGCCATTTAATAGCTTTCTAGCTACAAGGGAAATTTAAATGTTCTGGTTTCTACCTCAGACAGACAGAATTCATGTGGCTACAACATAGCACAGGCATTCCAAGGAGTCTAGGTGGCCAAAGGCATGAGAAAAGTCACTGCTGAAGGAAAGGGCAAAAGGCTATGGGAACACAGAAGTGACTCACTCTGGATGGCTCAGGGAAGTCATCAGCAGGGACGTGACAGGTTTATGAGCTGTGCTGATGAATAAGAATTTACCAGATGGAGATGAGAGGGCTGGCTATTCAGGAAGGGTAAACAGCATGGGCCAAGGCCCAGGATTGTGAAAGGGCATGTGTTGATGGTGGGGAATAGTGAGAAGCTCAGGGAGGTTGGAGAAAAGGGGGATGAGTGGGGCAGAGTGGAAAGAGGGGACATTGGCAAAATCAGATAGGCCAGATTGCTAAGCACTTAGTAAGCCATGCTGTTAAGGAATTGAGACTTGGCTGTAGGCAATAGGGGTCTGGATTACATTTTTTTT